GGGGGGGGGGGGGAGAGATGCCCCTTGGTTCAGGTCTCATCCTTTTCCCCGCTTCTGCCAGCGTCACCGCAGTGAAACTGCCCGATGGGGTCACCTTCATTGTCTATGAGTTCTGGGAGACTGAAGAGGACTGGAAGAGGTAGGGGAGGGGGCACAAAAGCTCAGTTTTGAGTGAGTTGCTTAGGCATGGAGGGGTGTTGGAGCTGATGAGCCCCAAGCTCTGTCCCCTGTCTGATGACAGGAGCGAGGATCCTGTTGTCGTCCTGGGGCTGTCACTGTAAGAGGGGACAGGGGACTTGGGAGATCTCTGTGCATCTCCCACCTGGGGATGTCTTTGGACACGGGGGACAGGACGGGAGGTCTCACTGTCCTGAACCACGGTAGGGTGCTTTGCCCAAGGGGGGTGAGCGGGACTGTGGGCACCGAGCCCCTGCCAGATCCTATGGGGATGGGGGTGGGGCTGGGATGGTGATTTAGGGGGAGGCTGTCACCCCCTCTCTCCCGCCTGGATGCAGACACCTGCAGAGTGCCACCTGCAAGGGCTTCCAGCACGTCAAGGTGGACACGCTGAGCCAGCCTGAGGCCATCTCCAGTGTGGCCGTGCCAGGTAGGAGGGTGGCCACCCCACGGGGTGGGGGACAGGGACCCCGGGTGGCCAGCACCACTTCACTATTGGAGAGTGGGGCTGGGCAGGGGGCACAGGGTGGGGGACAGTGCAGACTGGGATGGATGGGGGGGGGGGTCGGGGGGATGTGGGGCCCAGGCAGGGGGGACCCTCTGGTGCCGTTCCCCCACAGCTGCCTGGTGCACCCTGAACCGAGAGTGACCACTGGTGCCAGGGCACCTGCCAGCACCCATCCCCGCTGAGGGACGGCTGTGACCCCCTGCCTGGCCAGGGGGGTGGAAGGTGTCGGTGTGACCTGTCTGCAGTGAAGGAAACCCCCCGTGTGTGTCCCCAGCACCCCACAGGATCCCCCCCACAGCTACCCCATCGCCTGGGTCACCTCTCCTGGGAGTGGGGCGGTCTGTGTGTGTGTGTGTGTGTGTATGCATGTGCGCCACCCCTGGGGTCTGCCAGGGAGGGTCCGGCAGGATTTGGGGTTGCAGGGTGCACCCCCCAGGCATGGGTAGGCAGGGAGAGGGTGCAGGCAGCCAGGCAATGGGGAGGGGATGAGGCCGGTGATGAAGAGCAGGGGTGGGAGTGGGAGGCCAGAACCCGCCCCCCTTGGAGGGTAATTTGGGGGTTCCTGCTATTCTCCAGGGCCACCCAGGGAGGAGGCTGGGGTGGGGGAGGGTGAGGCTGTGCCGGGTGCAGTGTGTGTGTGCCTGTAGGGATGGGGACCCGTGTCCCTGGGAGAGGTCAGGGTGGTGGCAAATGGGGGTATCCCTTAGTCCTGCGGGGTGCGGGTGGTCCCAAGGGGTTTCCTTTGTGTGTGGTCAGTGGCAGGTGTGGGGGTGGCTCCACCCCCCCTTCCTGGGGTCTGAACATCTGTCTGTGTGTCTGTCTGTGCATGTGCAGCACTCACGGCCCATCCTGCCCCCACCCCGCCGTGGCCAGGGGTCCCTCAGGGTGCGTTGTGATACCCTGTCCCATCTTTATTAGCCGCTGTACAATGGGGACAGTGATGCCAAATAAAACCGTGATGGGATACAGCCGTGTAACTGTGTCTGGGGCTGGGTGGGCATGGTGGGGGCCTCATGGTGGAGGGCCTGATGTGGGTCCATGGCCCCTCAGCGCAGCAGTCCCAGCACAGCCAGGGCAGCGCTCTGCCCACAGACGAAGGCACCACCAAGGACAGAGAGGACACCCCAGGACATGAGAACAGCCCTGTGGGGACATGAACAGGAGCCCGGTGGGAGAGAGCCAGCACCCAGTTATGTGCCACCCCCAGACCCTCTGGATGTGGGCCCTTCTGCCGGGTCTCAGCCTCCTGTGTCATTCTCCTTTGCATCGCTCCTGGCAGATGGCCGAAGCTCCTGGCAGCCCCTTTGGCTCATCCCCTCTGCCCACTGCAATGACACACAAAACCTGGTCAAAGGCCTAGCAACTGCCACGATGAGACCACCCCAGGTTCTGCCTGTGCCTGGTGGCCCCACCGAGGGGGTACAGACCCACATCAGCCCCCCATGCAAGGGCACAGCCACTCCCACACACCCCCAGCCCTCACCCTAGTGCCACGTGTCCCCACCCCAGCTCCATCCCCTGCTCCGTGACCTGTGGGTCTGCATCTCCCTGCCCTGCCTCCCCCTCTCTCCCTGCCGGGCACACAGCCCCCCACTTTGGCCAGACATCGAGCCCCCGGGACACAGCACTCACCCCCGAACGCCGCTGCTGCTCCGTCGTGGGGTCATCAGCACGGTGCACCTTCCCGAACTGCCCCAGGCAGGCTGGTACTGTCCCCGTGCTGTCCCCATCGCCCCGGCTCATGTTATCCACTTTTCTCGTGGCAGCGCTCCTGGGCTCACACCCTGGCAGGTCTTCCCGAGGGACCTCTCCGAGGCCTTGTCACCCACCTGGGTGCCCTTGCTCTCCTGGGCACCCCTGGGCCCCCCAGCACGCCGGGGGGCACTCTTGTTGTACCTGCCCAGACAGCCATGCCCCCCCCCCAGGGCGCCTCTTGTCCCAGCACCCCCTGGGGTGCTCCCTCTGGTCACCATGGGGGACAGGACCCCCCCATCACCTCCATCCTCACTCAGACTCTGCTGCTTCCCCACGGGAACACACTTTGGCACACGGTTACCCCAAAATCGGCCAGCACCATACCAAGTCTCCCTGACATGGGCTGCTGGTGTGCCCACAGCCTCTCCAGCCAGGAGCAGTGATGGGTATGCACCCCCCCCTCAGCACAAGAACCACTGATGGCTGCTGGCCTTGGGGCACCGTGCCTCTCTGCCCCCACCCTGGCCCCCACCGGGTGCCCCAGTGCCTCCAAACCCCACGGCTCTCCATCCCATACAGCCCTGCAAAGGGCCTGGTACCTGGTACCTCCCCAATGCCCAGGCTCCTCCCCGATTCCCAGGCACACTCCCAACACCTGGGCACATCCCTGATATCCTGACACACCCCCGATACCTGGCACAACCCCATTGCCCAGGCACATCCCCAATGTCTGGGCACCTCCCTTATGCCCAGGCTCATCCCTGATACCCAGGAACATCCCAGATACCTCAGCACATCCCTCCTTGCCCACCCTTCAGCCCCACCATGGACCCCGTGTCCCACAGCAAGTGCTTCTGCTTTCAGTGCCCACAGATGCCCCAAACTCCCTTCCTCATGGGACTCCCACCTTGGCCAGGGTGACTCCCGGGGACCCTTCCTGGACTATGGGATGCTGCACCCCACCCCTGCCCCTTCCCTTGCCCACCGACCCACAGACACTCACTTTTTGCGTGGCCCAAGGGTGCAGGTCCCGGTCATACATACTAAGCACAGCCCTGCCACCATGACAGAAGCTCAGCCCTGCTGCCATGGCACCCCTCACCCAGGCGCCACCGCAGCGTCCCCCACAAGCACATCCCTGCAGTCCCAAAATGGGGCCAGGACAGGTCACCCACCACCGCAGCAGCCCCCCTTCCAACAGAGAGCACTGGAAATCCCTCCCTTCCCTCCCACTGCTCACTCTTGCCTGGGAAGATGAAGATGAAGAAGGCGCTGATGCCCCCAATGAGCTCGATGACCTTGCCGATGTCGGGGACAAAGAGGGCGATGGTGAGTGTGGTGGCCATCCAGGCCACTGTCAGCACCACCCGGCTCTGCCACTCATGTGCCTCAGTCATGTCCGTAGTCCCACGCTTGGGGGTCACCCACATGTCCCGCACCACCGACCTGGGGGGCATTGGGGGTCTCAGCACCCAGCAGAGCTGCACAGACCAAGGGGGGACCCAGCTCACCACCACCCTCTCACCGGCCCAGCAGCACCACGATGGGGTAGATGGTGATGATGGAGATACCAAAAAGCAAGCGGGCGACGATGATGACTGGGTCGTTCCCTGGGTAGGACATTAGGACATCGGATGCCACAGCCTCGCCGAAGGTCAGGTAGCCATAGAGCCCTGACGACAGGGAATTGAGGAGTTGAGGACAGAAGAGCCTCAAGGAGGACGGATGAGCCCTGGGGCAAGAAGGGAGTCAAGGGCTGCAGTTCTGGGGTTACCAGTGAGGGAGTAGATGAGCAGGCAGATGAGCATGGAGAGCACGGAGACAGTGACCCAGTGGGAGAAGTTCTGGTTGCGCATGCTGCTGTAGATGGCCACACAGGCCTCATGGCACTGCAAGGCATTGCGGGGGACAGTGCAGGGATAACCCCCAACATCTTCCCTCCCACCTGTGGGTGCCCCATCCCACTCTTCATCCCTAGGGGCTTAGTCCTGCCCTGCAGCCACCACAACAGCCACAGGTCCCTTTCCTTGGACCCCCCCCCTTGCAAGGGATGGTGTTCCCATGGTCCAGGGTGCCGTGGGAGGCTGCCGGCACTGCCCCAGCAGCCAGGGACAGTGGGGACAGGGTGACCTACCTGGAAGCCGAAGCAGATGGTGGGGATGACGCTGAAGACAGAGACCCAGGAGGAGGCCCTGTGGCATGGTAGGGAGGAAGCATAGAGCGGAGGGCATGAGGCCCCCGGAGGTAGAGGGGGCATTGGTGGCATAAGCTGTGAAGCCTGGATGCCACTGCAGGAACCTCCTGCTTGGTGATTTTGGGAGAAAGGGTCATTTCTGGGGTGAACGTTAGGATTGCCCACCCACTGCCCTGCCAGCACTATCCCCAGCTCATGTCCTCCCCACCCAGAGCCACCCACTGCACTGCCTCCAGCCCTGCCCCATGCCACTGCTGATGCCATGGGGGACAGGGTGGGAGAGTTGTGGGGTGACCTCCACCTACCTGGAGGACTGGGGGGGCTCAGGTGAGCTCAGGCTCTCTGCCTGCAGGTGGTACTTCAGGATGATGACCAGGGTGAGGTAGCAGGCGGCCAGTGTGCCCAGGATGCTGCTGGGGCATGGGAAAGCATCAGCACGTGGACCCTCGGGAGCCGGGAGGGGGAGTCCTATGGCCCCACAGGGACCCGGGAGGAAGTGGCTCAGGGTGCAGGGTGCCCAGATAGTACCTGGAGTACTTCTGGAAGCCAATCTCCCTGGGGACGGAGAGCGGGAAGATGACAAGGACGCAGAGAGCCGAGAGGGTGAAGCGCTGGTCCACGTACCAGGGGGGCAGCAGGGGGTCCCCACTCAGTGTCGCATTGGGGTACAGGGAGTCACACACTGCGGGAAGCAGTGGGGGGATCAGCTGCATCCCAAAGGGTGTCCCAAGGGGGTCAGGAGCATCACACCATGGCAGGCCCAGGGAGCCCCACATGCCCAGGGGCCCCAAGAAAACCCCGGAGCTGTGCCCAGACCACATGGGACCCACCACCTTCCCCTCACTCCTGGGAGTTACCGGCCCCAAGCAAGCATGGGAGGCAGGGGGACACAACTCACGTTTCTCCAGCTGGTCGCCCACCACCCTGAGCAGGGCCACGGAGATCATGAAGAGGTTGAGAAGGAAGCAGACCTCGCAGAGCTTCCCCACCGCTGCCCCGCACACCACCCGGATGACCCCCTGGTAGGTGGGCTGGGCGCTGAGGGCCGCTGCGTAGCCCAGCACGGCCAGCCCGCTCACCAGGAAGACCAGTGAGCCCTGCAAGGACAGGACCCAGCAAGAAGCACCACTCCGACCCTCCATCACCCCCCAGACCAGGGGGACCCAGCAGGGCTGTGGCCAGGGACCAGGTCACTGGTCAGGTCACCTTGTGGCCCTGGGTAACACAGGTCAGCAAAAGGATGGCGAAACAGCCCTGTGGGATACTTTGGGTTTAGATTTGGGGGTTTGGGGGCATGTAGGGGACCAGCCACCAGTTTTGTTTTAGGTTGAGCTGAAAGCAAGCTAAAAGCGTGGCAGCAGATGCCAAAGAGCATCTCTAAGAAGGGGAGGATCCCCACCAGCCCCCCCCCCAAACACTGGGACAGCTGAACCCCACCATATCTTTGCCCCTTCCCCTGGGCCGGCAGGTTCTTCACAGTCC